GGGGGGGGGGGGGGACGAGGGTATCACACACGCCGTCTCTTTGGTAAGAGCAGCAGCTGGCCTGAAAAGGCAGGTACTTTGAACCCATGTCTCCTTTTGGAAACAGAATTTTTCCGAGATGCTTTTGTGCACCTGCAATACGTGACTTTCGGAGCCAAACACACACAAGCACGCGGGGTGCGTGTCAAGGGTTGGGAGGATTAAGCCTGCTGGTGGCCGGTCTGTGCAAAAAATGTAGTGCGTTTTATTCTGGGGATCGTGTATTTACTCTGTGGATCGTGTAGCTGGTTTTAAGTTTGCTGAATTTTGCTTTAAGATGTGAAAAATTCCAGAGTTCCTTATTCGTCAAATGATTAGGTGTCTTCGAAGGACTCTGCCTTTTAAACCCGCATTTGTCTGCTTTTAAGTCTGCCATTGAAGACAGTCATTCGTAAATTCGAACCACGAATGTGGAAAAGAAGAAACTCCTAGGAATTGAGCTGAAAATAGTTTTAGACTTATGTAGTTTTCCAGTATTTCTGTATCCTGCCAGGCACTCACCTTCTTACCATCGTGGTGAGTTTGGATTTAAAGTTGTAGTAGGTAAAATGCTGGATCCAGAAGCAAATAAAGGATTAAAAAAATATTCCCAGCACAAAATTGTTTCAATGGTTTGGAGAGATGGTTCCCAGAGAAAAAATAACCACTTAAGCCCATGAAAATATATTCAGTCTCCTTATATTTATTTGTTTGTTTGTTTTGAGTTGGAGTCTCACTCCTTCGCCCGGGCTGGAGCGCAGTGGCAAGCACGCCCACCGCCACCCCGGCATCGACCTGCTGGGCTCCAGCGGGCCTTTCGCCTCAGCCTTCCAAGTAGCCAGAACTACAGACGTGCGCTACCATGCCCGGCTAATTTTTATTTATTGTAGAGTCGAGGTCTCGCCAATTTGCCCGGACTGGTCTCGAACGCGCGGGCTCAGTCAATCCACTCGCCTCGGCCTCCCAAAGTGCTCGGATTACAGGCTGAGCCAACCAGCCCGGCCTCAGCCTTCTTAGAAAGCAGTGAAATGAAAACCCAAATCGCAAGTTGCCTTTTCTGTGTACCAGATTGGCAAAACATTAAAAACTTTTGGGTGTTGGTGATGAGGTGAAGCAACTCTGACAAATAATGGTGGAGTGTAATTCTAAAACGATCACTTTCTAAAGCGAATTTGACATTGTCTCCTAAAATGGAAGATTAGACACATGGACCTAAGCTTCTCAAACTTGAATGCACGTTTCGCTCTCTCAGGGAACTTGTGGAAATGCAGATTCTGATTCATTGGTTTGGGGGTAGACCCAGAAATTTTTCCTTTCTCACAAGCTCCTGGCTGGTGCTTCTTCTGTTGGCCCCCTGGGCACCTGGAGATAGGCGGTGAGAGTAGAGTGTTCAAAGTAACAGCTTTTGTAGAAGGAGTGCCGAGTAGAAGTCTGTAAACAGGAGACTAAGTGGATACCTTGTGTAGAGTCATGTTAATTAGGAAACAGCAGTGAAAATGAGTTAACTAGAGCTACAGATAATTGCTACATGAATCTCAAAAACAACATTCAGTGAGAAGCTGATTACAGAACACCATGTACTCCTGTATGTTGTTGGATTGAATTTAACATACCAAACCAAATATATTGTTTAGGGATACATACAACTATAAAGAAAAGGAAAGTAATCCTAGAGCAACTTTTAGGATAGTAGCTACCTTGCCAGGGGGGTGAGAAGAGAGAGGAATAGCATTAGGGAAGGACAAATGGGGACCTCGAAGTAGTAATTTCGTCTCTTATGCGAGGAGGTTTGTATATGGGAGTTCATTTTATTGCCATTCTGTGTATCTCACCAGGTCAAAAATATTATTTGGGATGTGTTTAATACAATGTTTAAAAATTTAAACAGTCACAGTTCTCCTATTGAGTAAGGAGATTAGATTCAAATTTCTTTACATCTAAAATATTGTAATTTTGCAGTAGGGGTTGTGAGAGTGATGAGGGGTTTTTAAAAAAGTTAGAAAAATTGTAATTTTACCTGTTTTTAGAGATTAGATATGAGTTTAGGTATATTGGCCTTATTAGAAAAAATAATTTTTCTGGCTCCATTTTTTTAAAAAAGCTCAGTTCTCAAGAAATACTAGAACTTCACTGTCACCTATAGGAAGTGAAAGGAAGGAGGGTATTTAAAAAAGGGAAGTTTAAAGTATAAAGGCATTTTTCTAAAAACCCTGACAACCCACTTGCTATTTTTAAAAATGATAACCATCCATGCAAAAGCAAAAATACTGTGACAAGAGTTTGTAAATATTATTTGATAGTTTTTACTCACTGTAGACACATTTGCAGTTTTCTCATGATTTTCTGTTAATCTTTGAAATTTCCTTCTAGATGCTATTCATGCAATATTAGTGTACAGTCAAAGTGCAGAAGAACTTTTGAGGCGTAGAAAAGTCCACCGAGATGTCATATTTAAGTACTTGGCGGCACAGGGGGTTGTTATACCTCCAGCTACTGAAAAGCACAATCTTATTCAGTATGCAAAGGATTTTTGGCAAAAGCAATCACAGCTGAAATGGAAGGAAACACCAGAGCCAGTGACAAAGACAGAGGACATCCGTTTCTTTCAACAGGTAAAATAGATCTTATATTCTGAACCTTTGTTCTCTTGGAACCTGTATAGATAATCTTACATCTAGAGAGCATGTTTAATAATGTTTTATTTGTATTTTTTAATTTTAACTTTTCTTCATATTCTTTTGCATCCTAAAGGAAGATAGACCAATAAAGCAACTCAAAGATAATATTTCTGACATTTAGTGATGCATATAGAATAACATAGATTTATGAGGAAAAGTATTTTTCAGTATCAGTATTAGTATTGATGTTTTTCAGAATCATCGAATGAGGACTACTGGATTTTTATAGAGTATATGCACTGTACATTTTAGATATTGAATAAATATTTGAATGCATTTGAGTGAACGTTCAGGTAATTTGCCGACTTTTTATTTAGTTGTTTTGTTGTTGTTGTTGTTGTTGTTGTTATTCTGAGTCAGAGTCTCACTCTGTTGTCCAGACTGGAGTTCAGTGGCATGCTCACGACCATTGCAGCCTCAACCTGCTGGGCTCAGATAATCCTTCCACCTCAGCCTTCCAAGTAGCTGGAACTACAGGCATGCACTACCACATCCGGCTTATTCTTGATTTATTGTAGAGATGAGGTCTCGCCCAGTTGCCCAGGCTGGTCTCGAACCCCTGAGCTCAGGCAGTCCTCTCGCCTCAGCCTTGCAAAGTTCTGGGATTACAGGCTTCAGCCACTGCACCCAGCTTGATTTGCACTTTTAAACTACATACCACACTGAACGAATGAGGGTTCACAGTGAGAAAACTCTGCCTTTGCATTAAGAAAGGATCTTCTAAGGGCTTTCTGTATATACTAAAGAGAGCATTGACTCTGAAATCATAGATGCAACTTCAAATTAGAGTCTGCCATATTCTAGGTGTATGAACGTAGACAAATAGCTTGACCTTTCTGAGCCTTGCTTTCTTCATCTGTAAAATGGTCATTACAGTTCTATCTATGTCATAATCTTTTTGAGAAGATAGTGGGAAATAGCTCTGAAGTACCACACAGTGCCCAACATATTAAATACCAGGTGCTCGGTAAACCTGCATCTCTTGCCATGTCAGAGAGCTAGGTCGCTCTGGGTTGCATAGATGAATGAGACCTAGCCTATCAGATACATTTTTGCGGTGACATTTCCTTTGAAAAAAGAGCAATAATTATATAAAATTGTTCCCAGTCATAGAAAATTGCCTATTCCCTCATCCTAGGAGTGTCTGTTTAAAGACGACGAAATGCTTTCTTATTTCAGCTTTACTGTGATGTGATTTGTATGTGAAGTGCGTTGATCAAAGATGCATTTCAAAGGTGTTGACAATTGAGAAATGCTTATATAAATTATTATTGATTGCTGTGCTGGTATTTTAAAAGTTCTTGTTAAACCTTTCTTAGCAGAATTTTCAGCTACTTAAGCTGGAAAATTCTAAAATGATTTTTCTCCTTTTTGAGAAAAGGTTTCACTATGCACGATGGATTTATGTGAGTTCACATATGGTTCATTTCCTCTGCTGTAATCAGTACATTCAGACTTAACTGTGAAACAGACTAGATAGGAAAATAGAAAAGAGTCAGGCCTTAATTTTGTGTTTATTTTATTTGTCTTTATCAGCCAGTGAAAGAAGACAAAAAAACTGAAACAGTTGATTTTCGCCGCCTGGGAGAAGAGTTCTGCCACTGGTTCTTTGGACTTCTGAATTCCCAGAACCCTCTTCTGGGACCACCGCAAGATGAATGGGGGCCCCAGCACTTCTGGCATGATGTCAAGCTTAGGTTTTATTACAACACATCAGAACAAAATGTGATAGACTACCATGGAGCAGAGATCGTAAGCCTGCGTTTGCTGTCTCTAATAAAAGAAGAATTTCTTTTTCTCAGCCCCAACTTAGATTCCCGTGGGCTGAAATGTGCTTCTTCTCCTCATGGTCTGGTTATGGTTGGAGTTGCTGGGACTGTCCATCGAGGGAACACTTGTTTGGGCATTTTTGAACAAATTTTTGGACTCATCCGCTGCCCTTTCGTGGAGAATACTTGGAAGATCAAATTTATCAACCTGAGAATTGTTGGAGAGAATTCCCTTGCTCCTGGAGCATTACTGAAACCAGCTATTACATTTGAACAGAGTGACTTAGAGGCCTTTTATAATGTTATCACTTTATGCGGTACCAACGAAGTACGACTTAACATAAAGGAGGTGTTGGAGAGTGGAACTGGAGACCAAGGCTTACGTAGTGGGAGTGAAGCCATGCTGAACAAAAGAGAGCTGAGCTTATCTAACCCTCTCAGGCACTGAGCACTGTATGTCTTCGACACAGAAACTTTTCTAAATACTATATCAGTAATATCTAAGTGATTTCAGATGTGAGGAGTGACATATTGTTGAAATATCTTTCTGGATTACAGACTGGCATATGAATACTTACCTATTTCTACCTGAGTTGCAGCAAATCTGAGAGCTTAATACAAATAAATCCCACTTTAGATGTTATAGCTAACTGTGTGCCTTAGAAACCAGGTAATATTTTCATTTTACTTAGTGAATATTCTGCTAATATCATGTGGGAAAGGATTAATAGTGTTCAAGGCTTCCTATCTTTAAGTTTCTCATTTACTCTTGTCCAAATCTGGATAATTGAGTATTTTTTAAAATGCATCTCATTATAGTATTATTTAAAAAAAAAAAAAAATTTAGAGATGTTTAATGTAAAATCAAAGTTCTCATTTTAGAAAATTTGGATGACATTTTTATTGCAAAAGTCCAGTAATTTGCCAGGTAAAGTAAAACTTACTGTCACTTTAAATATTTGAAAAACATTTTTCAGAGTTATGTGTTGTAGTCCAAGCTAAATATCTTTTAAAATCTACAGCACTTTCCAAACTATTTTGGGCAGTGATAAATGCTGTACTTAAAACAGTCATAAATCTTACCTAGGCTTCAGTGAACAGTTTTACAGAGCATTTATTGTAATACCATATAAAGAAAATATGCTGTTGAAGTTGATGTTTTTTATAGGGTGCCCAGTTCCTAACTTTTAAGTTAATTACTGTTCTTCCTCTTGATCTTGACAGAAGTGACAAAACAAACCTCAGAAATTTATAATGTGAGTATACATGTATACCTGTGTGCATATGTGTATCTCACATCATAATTTAAAAATTTTCACCTTTAATTTGTATTACTAGGTTTGAGTTACAAGATTTGAGTTGCCAGATTATTGACGTACTTGCTTTAAAAGTTCAAGTTCCTCATCATCCAGTGGCTATTTGCTGATCCTAGATTTAGTTAGTGATTTTAATTTATAAAAGTACCATTTGGAAAAAAATTCAACTGTAAAATGTGACGATATATTGTACCTATTACTTTTTACACTTATCTCTGCTCATAATCATCTAGGGAAATCAGTATGGATTTTGAAAACGGGGAAAAACTCCTATGCCTCTTATGAGTAGTACAAACTAATATGTCCTAAAATAAGAACTTAATAAAGGAGGGAAATCCCTTTGCTGTAAAAAATAATGTATTGTTTAGATTTAATTTACAGTTGTGTTCCTCTTAAAGTTTTAGGCATTTAACCAAAACAAAGCAAACTACACCATCTGTGTAATATAATTAGGTATAAAGAAGCAGCAGTTTGCAAAATAATGACGTATTTTTATATGGTGCACAATTCAATAAGGTCACAAGTCCATCTTTACCCATCTGATAGCCCTGCTTGGGTTTTTAAAGCCAAGTTACCTTTTTTCGTTAAGCTTAAGTAGTATTATAAAGTGTAATAGATAAACATCCTAAGTAAAAGATAAAATTAAGAACCATTCCTATCTCGTTGCGCTATTGGTGTCAAAATCTGCAGAAATATTACTGCAGATGCTCAGAAAGGGTAGGGATTGCCTCTAGCTATCTTCAGTGTTGAGTTTTTTAATTTGTGTAAAGTCCAAATAAGTCTGCAATTTCTGCACATAGCTTTAATCAGCCTTAACTTGAAATCTTTTTGATGGATGAAGCTTCTTGACAATTGCGTTGATCGTTTATTTCATATCCGTATCTTGGCACACTGTAGAGTATCATGTTTGGAGTGAATGGATGAATGAATAAGCAAAAAGAAATTTGCATACTGTAAAAAAAAGGTTTTATCTTCGGCTCTTCTTATCAGTGGGTGTTTTTGGTCATACAGTCTGTTTGAATTTCACATGGGTACACAAACTTTTAGGATTCCAAAATAACTCCGGTTTGGGAGAACTACACTGACCTTGAAGACCAGAGTCAGTGGGATAAATGTGAGTATATAAGCAAAAAAGACCTGGAGGAATTAAAATTTGTTCATGAAGCTTGGAGCTTAATGTGACTTTTGAGAATGATCAAAAAGCACAGTGCAAGGATCGAACTCTACTTTTACTACCACCTCTAATGGTCTGATTATGTTAGGGATTGGCACAGAAAGAACACAACTTTAGGTCTTTCTTTTGCTTTATTCAACCCAACTGGTATTTAGAAAGTCTGGAGTCAGGTAGTAAAGAATGCAGCACTCTACACATGACTCGTAAAAATTGAGTGATGAAACTAGGAGGCCATCTGAACTTTCATTTGTTGTAGGCTAATTTGCCGTAGCCTAATAGCAGGGCATACATATTAAGTATTCTTTTTTTGTTAAAATAAAATCTTAATAGTTACATTAGTATATTTTGTTAGTATCTGGAATGCAAAATAGAGTATTTCATGTGTCTTATTAATTAAAATACCAACTATAAGGGGAAAAACTCTCAAAGGCAACTTGCAAATGGCGAATGAGATAGCAGATCAGAAAATGTTCCTGGGTTTTCAGAAAGGTAGTATTTTTCTGTTAAGGAAGGCTAGTTACCCAGTCCCAGTAAGGAATTGTAATAGTACCAGAAAAGGATTTAAAGACTAGTGTTTTAAAAAATAACAATGGAGCCAGGTGTGGTGACTCACGCCTATAATTCTACTACTTTGGAGACGAAGTCAAGAGGATTACCTGAGCCCATGAACTTGAGACCAGCCTTGGGCAATGTGGCGAGACCTCATCTCTAGCTGGACATGGTGGCGCTTGGAAGGCTGAGGTAAAAGGATCACCTGCGCCCAGCAGGCCAGGGCTGCAGCGGCCGTGAGCATGACACTTCAGCCTAAACTGAGTGAAAATCACATGATGTTTTTCTTAGGATTTCTATTTTTACAAATGTAGATGTCCTTTTCTTCACTGGTTCTTAATTTGGGTTGTGGATGGTGGTATCAACCTTTTGAAAAGGTTGAGTTATGTTCTTTCTCCTCAGAAAAAATGATTGTGTATATTACAATTTTTGCATATTTCAGTGAGTTCTTGAACCTCCCTAAATACGTTTGTGAGTCCTGTAGACATCCTTATATTTAATGTTAAAAATACTGCCATATAATTACATTTCCCCCAGAATACTCTCCTATATTAAATAAAATTATTTTTGTAAACTTTTGTGATATTGCTGAGTTCCTAGGCTAGATGACTAAGATCTTCTTATAATGAAAGGATAATCTCTAGGAAATCTCTTAGTTTGCAAGGGTTGTCACTTGTTGCTGCACTACGTTGCCTTCTTACACATAATAGATTTTTGATGAATACTTCTTGACTGATCTTCAGGATGAAGGTTATCATTTGCTGGCATTTATTTCCAAGTAGCTTGCATTATGACATTTCATGCTCAGAACTTTCAGTAGTGCTGCATTACCTCCAAAATAAAGTGTCCAGATTTCATCATCTGGTTTTCATCACCACCAAGTTCTGACCCCAGTCGTTTTCACAGTTTAGTACAGCCAACATCTCCTTAGTTGTCTCTGTCTTATCTTTTGCCTACTTGGCCCTGCACTTTTACACCAAAGTGTCCAAAACTGTAGAATTTAATTGTGTTACAGGCATTTTGTTTTTTAAAAATGGTTAGATATAAAGACAAAACCTACCAAAATACTGTGAAGTGGAACATAAAAATATTCAGAATTTCATTTTATTTTGACAAGATAAATCGAGTGAAGAGTAATGAGCATACTTTGGAGAACATGACACAAATGTAAAATAATAATTTTAAAATAATACTCTTATCTCAAACCAGGCAAAGTAGGGATCAAAGGGAAGCCCAAACCTTACCTGTATGATGGCCACTTGTATACCTAATCTTGAAATGTACCCCATCTTTAAAGTGAAATACATTTTTTTTTAAATCCAGGAGAAAAAAAGTTGTTTGAAATCACTCCAAAATAAAACAGATTAGAATCTTACTGCATTCACTCTGAAGAAGTTACATAAAGAAGAATTTTAACATATGGCATATATTAATAAAACATTTTTCCAAAATCCAAAAAAAAATAATTCTCAAGACCTTTGCAAAAACCTTAAGATGATACTGTTTAGTAACAATTGCATATTGCTAATTCCAATGAAGCGTTTTAAAAATAAGAATAACGTTGGAAATATAAATATTCCAAAGCTTTCAGAGCTAAAGGCAGAGCCTAGATTTAGACCCAGACATTTTGAGTTCAAGAGCCATGTGATAGCTACTGACTACACTACACTGCCTTCTGATACATAATAGATTTTTGATGAATACTTCTTGACTGATCTTCAGGATGAAGGTTATTATTTGCTGGCCTTCATTTCCAAAATAAAAATGCCTTTAATCTGTATTGTTTATCTAAATACAATAGCAATATTAATCGTACTACGTTCTTGTAATTATACCTCTTGAGTTGCTCAGTTAGTGATTTGAAACATCTTGGAGAAAAGACAGAATATTCATGTTAAGCAGTATTTCCTATAAAGAAATTGAATAAAAGTAATTGGGTAGCATAAAAAGAGGTAACAATTTAAGTCACATTTCTTGAACCCACCAACTCTCCACTGACTCTAGTTCTCTTGCCTTCCTGTTTAGGACACCATTGTGCTTTTAGTGTCAGGGAGAGTCTTTGCTTCCGTTTCTTACCACATCCGGATGGAGCATGTCTGTAGTATTGTTTTCTGTTTCAGCTGCTGCCTCTCTGCCTAAGCCTTCACTAATATTTCTACACTTTCATATTTCTTACATAATTGTGACATTGCAATCCATAAAGTACAGTTGACATCATAACATTTTATGCTCAGGACTTTCAGTAGTGTTGCATTACCTCCAGAATAGTGTCCGGATTTCATAATCTGGTTTTCATCACCACCTAGTTTTGACCGCAGTCATTTTCACAGTACAGCCAACGTGCCCTGAGTAGGCTTCCTAGTACCTTTTGCTTACTTGGCCCTCTGCTTTTATACCCAAGTATCCAAAACTGTAGAATTTAATTTTTATTCTGCATCACAGGCAGTCTGATAATACATTGTAGAAAGAAAAAAACTTATTTAAGCAGTTAACTCATAAAATTTCTTCAGTAAATCAAGCATTTTTCCTCTGTAGGGGTTTTGTAAAGGGTGTCTCTAGAATAATCCCAAATCTTCTGCATGACTACTTCATTTTTTATCTTTGAGGCTGCATCACTTTCATCTTAGCTTAAATATTTTCTCCTCCCTAAGTAAATTCTCTTAGTATTTATTAGAGCATCTTGTTTGTTTCCATTGTAACATTTCAAATATTATTAGTTAACTTACTAATTTATCTCCCCCACTTGATTTTAAGCTGAGAGCAAGGACTGTAACTGATTCATTTATATTGCATTTGTTTTGCTTTGCACAGAAACTAGATATCCAATAGATATTTATTTATTATTTATAAGGAAATGAGTTTTACTTTTTATTCAAGCCTTATGTAGTCCCAGACCTTTGCCTATCTAGCTGATTAGGTAGTTTCTAAGGTCTGCTGTGATGTTAAGGTTACATAGTATTGTGGATTATATGTCTTCTCAGCAACTCAAGAATATTACTTTTAAAGGAATCTAGTTCTTTGTTGGGAAAACTGATTTTCTGTTATTTTGCTTCATAAGTGATGCTTATTCAAAAGTACACTTTTATTCTTCATTTCTTCAAACAAACTTATACATTAAGTATACATTTGGGTAGTGTGTGTATTGCTGTCTACAGAAGGAAAGCAGAATGATGAAAATATTCTGTGTCATATCTAGACTAGAAAAGGGAAAAAGTGAATTCTGTGTGTTCTCATCACTAGAAATTCTGAAGTTGTTTGAAACTGCCTTGGGGAAGCTCTTACCTCTGACCTTTTTTGTTTTATTAACTTTTGTTTTGTGTTTTGCTTGCACTTTGCTTCCAGTCTATAGTGGGAAAGTAGTTTTTACCTTGTTGTGTATGTGCTCAAAATATGTTTCCATGTTTTAGTCAAGAAAAGTACAAAGTGTTTGACAAAAAGTCAAGCTAAAGGCTAACAGTAATCCCTATTAAAAATAAAGATGTTAGTAAAATAAATATAAATGATTCCTACAAAGAGACTGAGTAATAGGAGTTGGTAAATATTTAAGAATAATATTGAGGACAACAGACAGATTCAAGATAGGCTTTTTTTGGGGGGGGGGCGGAGTCTTACCCTGTCGCCGAAGCTGGAGTGCAGTGGCACACCCATGGCCACCGCAGACTCGACCTGCTGAGCTCAGGCGACCCTTCCTTTTCAGCCTTCTAAGTAGCTGAGCCTACAGGTTTGCGCCACCAGGCCTGCCTAATTTGTTTTAGATTTATTGTAGAGATGAGGGCTCGTCATGTTGCCTAGGCTGGTCTTGAACCCGTGGGCTCAGACCAGTTCTCTCACTTCCGCTTCCCAAGATGCTGGGATTACAGGCGTGAGCCACCGCCCCAGACAGGATAGGCTTTTTCTGTAGGATGCAAGGCCCTGCATGGTTGCTGCCCATAAAGTCATTGAAGATTATTCCAAAAAGTTTTTGGAAACATTTATTTAGCAAAGACAGCAAGTGTTGCTGTAGTAACTGCACTGATTGTGTTTGT